TGGGCTCCGCCAGGGCTGCCCTTTGTCACCGGTTCTGTTCATAATTTTTATGGACAGGATTTCTAGGGATGGATGGATGGAGTGTACAACAAATAAACAAAGTTAAAGTGCCACAGGCCCATAGTAAGTCCCTTTTACTGGGAGAAAGCACAAACATTTCATATATATATACAACACAGATTTAAAAAATATATATATATTAAAAATTAGGTTACGTTTAAAAAAGTAAAAAAACTGAGAGTGCAACAGAGTAGTGCAAATTGCACTGATAAAAAATATGTACACTATAATACACTACAAAAGCACAAGTGCCTCATTACACAACCTTTTTTTTTCTTCCAGCCTGAGGTTGTCACTGAGCAACTGTGTCACACATCCACACCCACACACAGTCAATTAACCCAGCATTACAAGTATTACCTGGCTGCCTGCGTTGCCTGCAGCTTATGATCTAAATTCTCGCTGTTTACACCTCCGACAATTTCCTCTACAGTCCAGTGAGGAGGAGGCTATGAAAACAGAAAGAGAAATGAAAGGGGATTACTGCCAATAAAACCAGAGCAGTTAAAAATAACACATTTAGAGGAACTTGCTTTGAATGTTTTTAGGTCATGGTAACTCAATCGGGGCAACATATCTCAATTATAAATGGACATTTTATAAATTATCTGACATACATTTTTTTCAACAGTCAACAGTCTGTTATCACCAGACAGACACCTGCTCCAAGATTTAGTGACCTTTGGATAATGCTTGCAAATTGAGCAGGCTTAGCTTTTGTTCTTCCTGTGTGCACGCTCGGCACAGGTGTTTCTTTGGAAGTTGTTACATCCTGCTCATAACGAGTAAACTTCTGTAACAATCCAATGTTTCAAACAAGTTAAGCAGCTGTGGTTATATCAGGTGGGTCACCTTTACTCTCACAGCCAAACCAAACACAGATAACCTGCTGATTACCCTTACGTTGGGGTCTTTCTCTTGCAGAGGGGACGTTGGCTCGTCCAGAAGGCTGTGGACATTTCTCCTCTTGAGGATGTGGTCATCCTTCTTGGCTCTTCGCAGCTCCACATTGACTTCCGCTCTTCTGCGCCTCAGCTCCTGATTATACCGACACACAAATAAAAGATATACCACACCATTCAGCGCATTTGGGATACCGAATTAACTCTCTGACGTTTACTGCTAGGTTCAGAGCTTACATTAGCATCTTTTCCTTTATTTTTGAACTGGTTGAGTCTCGCTCCGTTGTCCGTGCCCGCTGACATTCCTGACCGTTGAGCAACACAATCGATTCCACTAAAATCAGACGCTACCTGTAATAATTTCACAACGACAAAAAATAAGCGGCAGCAGCCACGGTTGCTTTTAGTTTCGGGTGTCAACTAGTAAGCAGACGCTGAGCTAGCTAACCAGGCGGTTGTCTCGAAGCCAAGCCGGTTATCTAACACCATGTGGCCCTTCAGATACAAGGTCTGTCTAATAATCTAAAACCCCGCTGAAACTCAGAAAACAAAGGTTATACATTGTATTAGCAATTACAAAAGCTCAATAGCAATTTCAATAAGAGAAAAAACAAATAAATGCACTATTAGCCACATAGCATGTACAACGTGCTTACCGTTCAGATTTCTTGTATTCTTTTAATATATGCACGACGTCATGTAACGACGTTCCAATTTTTCTGATTTTTAATTGGCCAGTTGGATTTTTTAGCACCGCCTCATTGGTCACGTTTAAGGAAAAGAAGCGTCAAACAACAAATATGTTGTCAAAGGCAACCGCTGTCAGTATCGCGAGAAAACCTGTTAACGTTTCTGTGCGTTAGCTTGTTCTTCGTGTGCTAAATGCTATTGCTGGGTTGTAATTTTTTTCATTGCGAATTATTCCTCTTTTAAATAAAAAACAAATATAACCTTTAGTATTAAGTAAATGAGTAATACCACTGACTACATATTCGATTTTCTATTTTCATGACTGAATTTTCCCCACCTGTGCTACGTAATGACCCAGTGGCCTAATGGATAAGGCATCAGCCTCCGGAGCTGGGGATTGTGGGTTCGAGTCCCATCTGGGTCGTATTTAGCTTCCTTTTCGGGGTTCTACTGTGAGCTCTTTCACAGACTCAGAAACAAGAACGTTGGAACATTGGAACATCCGGTTGTACATTGTGTGATAATACTAACGAGATTAATTTTTTTTTACAGTCATTGGGCTGAACATATGACCAGCGATGAATTCGGTAACAAGCTGTTTTCAACATTTTATGGTTTGTGCCTTGTTCATAAACCCATTCAATTGATCTGCACAGTTATATTTAATATATATAAAATGTAAAAAAAAAAAAATTGAAAAGAACAAAAACCTCTCTATAGGTAACATACAGCAGATCTATGAAAAAAGGCCTCAGAGAACCTGTACCACAATATTATGGCCATCTAAACTGTCTGTAGCACAGCCACGACCATCCTGGAGACAAAGATGAGCAGTAAACCACCGTCTTATGCGCGACAGAGCAACAGAAATAGCAGCAGCTAACAGCTCTGTAAATATATTTGAATAACACAAATTTATAAATATACATTCAAAATAGGTTATTTGTTTATATCCTGTTGACTACAGCCTATTTAACAATATAAACCAATATATCAGACATTAAAAAACACATCTGCCACCACTGTTTTCAGATGTCGCTATTTCTGCTCAGCAGAGGGCAGTGAATACACATAGATCAGTCAGATCTAAAAACTGTATTTAAATTAAGTAAAGAAGGATGTTAACTTAGAAAGTCTTATTAGCTCTTGTTCCTATTTATTACCTATTTAATAGAACTAGGTTAATTATTATTAAATAACTAAAAACCAGAGTAATGTAACTTCAAACAGTCAACTGGAAACCACATCCCAGGAAAAGTTTCACTTTGAATAAAACCTGACTTTGTGTGAAGCAGACAATATGCACACAGTGTCACAGTTTCCCTCACAGGCTGTAAACAACACTGCGGGCCTATTCAGAATCCGTGCATGAATGAAAGGAGTGTCACGTCCAAGTGTTTATTTTCTGTGTTTGGGACGTCCCACCACCTCCCTTTTCCATCCCATCTCCTTCCTGAGAGCTCCTATAAAAATCCCAGGAATCCCAACTGTGTAGCAGACCCCTGAAAGTGTGTCCACAGTGAGCTTGAAGGATGGCAGGGATTACTTTGACGCTTTTGTTTGTGGTGTTTCCTCTTTACAACACAGAGGAGCATGTCGTTAATGGTGAGTGGATTATTTTTCTTAATCTTTTTTGAACGTTGTGTTCAGTGACATTAGTATCATTCATAAATAGCCTAAATATCTGTTATTACATGCAATTACAGATATGCAATATGCTTTAGATGGAGAGTGACTTGACCTCATGTTGTACCTTTTAGGTTTAACCCTGTAACATTAAGTGCATCATATTTGATAGATGAATTTCTGATACCCTTACATCACCAGTGTGATGTTTTTAACCCTAACCCTCTTAAGTGTTTTTGTTTTGCTGAACAATGATTTGCACAAAAATGGCAGATGTAGCAAAAAATTATACAAATTAAGACTCACATATGCAAATTCATATTTATTTATGTATTTTTATTCATCATAAGGTTCAATAAACACTCCAGTATTTTTCAAAAATTACAAATCTGTAATTATTTCAGGCATAACAGGGATAATATAGCATAATATTGTTTGTACTCTATTGATAATAGAGTAATGAGTAAGAATTTATCCAGGTTTCAAGGAAGGTCCACTTTATCAATTACACAAAATTCACCCATTGTTGTAGATCTCTTTTTGCCAAACTGTGCAACTAAATGGAAGCTTTGTTTCTTTCGACTGCAGGTCTGTACACGCTGATAGAAAAGGGTCAGAGCAGCTTTGTGGATCCAGCTCTGAGCAATCAGAGCAGACTGGTGGTTAAAGAGCCCAACCTGCCCATCAACGAACTCCTAGAGAAGAGCAGCAAGAGCAGCGAGTCCAAGTTCAGCCTCCATCCTCTTCCTTCTGCTGTGTGGCCCAAGCACACTGACCTGGCTCACATCCCCCACCACCACAGTCCCCACAGCAAGAGCAAAAAGGGCCCAAAGAGCGACCGTTCTGAGGAGCACAACAGTGAGAAAGCCAGAGGAGAAGTTGCTGGTCTGCATCCCAAAACCCAGGTCACAGCAGCTGCAGGGGCTTCCACCAACCGCACAGTACAGAAACCCAGTCAGGACGCTCAGTCCAACGTCAGTCCTCCTCAACATGGCGAGCCAGAGGGACACCCCAACTCCAGACCCAGGGCGCCGCCTCAGACCCAACCTCAGGCTCAGCCACAACAACCAGCTGTTCCCCCGCGCAAAGATCCCCCCAACCGACGCATGGACCCAGAGGAGAACCGGCCAGGGAAGTCCAGTCTCTATCAGTCTGGCATCAGTGCAGCAACCCGGAACAACAGCCGCCCACCGGTGATCTTTAACCGGCGCTCCTCCAGCCTGCTTTATCAGTTTGACATCATGCGGCGAGGTATGGGAGGATTTTTTTTTTGTTTTCTGACCTCAAAATGTGACCTGTGCATAATTACAGAGCGGTCCAGATATCTTTTGATGGGATCTTTGAACCTTACTCCCTTCTGGGAGTATAGATTTTAAATTATTAAACTTGAATAAGACTGTAGCCAGATGGGAACATCTTTGATCTTTAATATTACAATATTTCTCACTCGTAACCATCTGCAGCCTCTGGCCTTTAAACAATATATATTACATGAGTGCAAATTATCAAAACAAGAAAAACATTTATTACAGAATGAAAAAGAGCTGCTTTGTGATAGTATTTTTCTTAGTGTAGTGTCATTAATGGAAAGTTGACATTTGATCACAAGAAAAGGCCCAAACTCAATTTTATTATAAACTTATAGTGGCAAAAAGTGGATCCTGCTGAGTTTAAATTTACACTGCTGTTTTCTTTCCTGCGCTTTAAATATCCATTTAATTATCACTTTGAAAAGTACAATCTGTTGCTGTGCCAGTATATATGTCATGTATGCTGACACAGGTCACAGAGTTCACACAGAGGGTTGTGATGAGAGCGCTGGCTTTGTCTTTTCCTCTAGTAGCTAATTAAAGTCTCCTGCCACTAATTATAACCGCTTCCCTCAATTCTGGCTGTCAATGCGTCCCCTGTGCGCAGTCCAGTCGTGGTTATAATGAAACTAATGCAAAGCAAGGGGGAAAGCTCAGATTTTTTGTAGTTAAGGTTAAAAAATGTACCACCAGCGTGATCCCGAGACACGGTCCACCTCCTCCAGCCCCCTGCCGAGGAATGTGACGCCTCGGTTTCGCAATGACAGCCTCGTCTTTTCTAATGATGCTGGAATGAAAGTCAGTCATTACCTGACTCGCTGTGTTTGTCCTACTTCCCCACAGAGTCCGACTTCACACATGACGCCGTCTGTGTGAGCGAGTGCAGGAAGGAGAAGGACGAGAAGGAGCATTACTGCTACAGTGAATTTGGTATGTGTCTAATGTGAGACAAAGATGGACTGGTTTTCAGTGCTGGTCTTCTTTATCACACACACACAAAATCACATTAACATGTTAGTCCTCTGGACTGTTGTTCCCCATCAAGTAAAGGCAGGGATTTATTCTGAGAATATTTCCAAAGTTGGTAAAGTTTGGATGGTTAATTTGCACAAGCTAGAGCAAAAGTACTTCAATTTAATTTTTGGAGTTAACTCTCCTTTTTAAATGTACGCATTAACAGCTGAATATCTATCCGTGCCTTTAAAGTTTTGATAATAAAGAAATGTATACATGCAACAGCTGGATAATGAAACTATGACCTTTGAGACTAGATGTAGTTTCAAGGAAATACATTATTCACATGCATGGTTATGTTTGATCACTTAGACGCCAAAGCTAGAAGGAGCTTAGCCTGAAGACCAACAGTTTTTATATTAGATGAACAAAACAGAGTGCTTTAGGGGTGCTGGCAGCTGGATTTTCACCTCATAAACGCATCAAAAATATTGCTTCACCTTCAAAGCCTGAGTTATGAAGATATAAAAATCTGATATTTTAAGATCTGATCATGTTTTTCTCTAACATAGCTGTCAATGGGATTGTCCATGACATCGACGTGTTACGCAGAGGAATCCGGCTCATTACGCTGATGGTCAGCAGTGATGGCTTCTACAAGATGAGCCGTCTGTACGTGACCCCTGACAGCTTTTTCTTCAAAGTGCGCCTTCTGGTCCTGGACACCTACAAGTGTAGCAAGCCATGCCCTGACATCAAACTGGGTAGGTGTTGCAGTGTAGCTCCTTAGCTCTAAAGAACAAAAAACTGGCTTCATCAGAGATAAACAGTCAACGGTCTGAATCCTTGCAAAGCATTACTGTGCCGGTTGAGCTCTCCTGAACGAGAATAATAGCGGTGTACCTTTTAATTATGTTTATTTGTTGTTGGTTATGCAGTGTAGCTAATTGAATGATAAATATCACTTAATATTTACTCATATTTATAGTGTCTTCTAGCTGTTAAGTTCTTTGTTCATGAGGAATCAAGAGATGAGATTAAAGTAACAAATCGTGGGAAGTACAGAGTTTGATAATTAATATTTTACAAGAATGCAACTCTTGAGACCCATAAATTAAAAACCATGTGACAACTTAACACCAAAGCGTCACTTTGTGGGATGTGGGATGTGGGAATTCCTTTTCCCTGAGATCAGCAGAACGTGTTTAGTGCAAACACAAAAATTGTTTGACTTTGCACTTTTTCCCCCCTCCGTCACTTCAACGTTCGCTCTCTTTCTTCCCAAGGGACCAGATACATCATAATGGGTCAGATCTACCACCGAAGACGCCACCTCCCCTCTGACCTCCTGAACCTGCTGGGTGGTAAACTGAAGCCCGGGGACGGCATCCTGAGAAGCAACAGCTACGTCAAGAGATACAACAAGCGGCGACACCAGAAAGCTCTGGAGGCCACGCGCTCCAGGTGTAGGTGAACCAGAGATAAGACTATCGCCCCTCGCTGCAGGGGAAGAGACACTGCAGCAGACGTGAACTGATCTCACGTAGACAGAAGACATGTGGCGAAAGCATCGACTGAGTTTCATATGGACTGCTTTGATGCTAGCCAAAGACTGGATCATCTCCTTTTTACCGATCTTTGAAAATCCACAGTTGCTGGCTTGTGATCTTTTTTCTTTTCTTTCTTTCTTTTTACAGAAACCACAAGCAGCTACAATTAAATGGGTTTATGATGTTTTTTCCATGAGGCAAATGTTATTTTGTCAACATACAAACTCTTCATCCATTCATGGCTGGTTCATGAAATCCTTGCATTAATAAGGCATTGCATGTAAAAGGGAAATTTGGCTCATCTTTAGTTCACATATTACAGAGTGGGAATATTTTTATGGAAGAGTAATGCTTTTACTTGAGAAAAGGGTTTTCTGAATAAACATTTAAATAGTAAATCATAACCTTTAACCCTACAATATCAGGATATTTGATTTTTGTCTTTAAAAAATCATTCTCATAGTACTCTGGGACATTTTGCATTTCTTTTCTCCCCCCAAAGAAATTCTTTCTTTAAATTCACTAGATGATAGGGTTAGGATCCAAACATTAAGGCATTTAGGGTACACAGACCACAGGATGTTACAGAGATAATTAACTCAGCTTTCCTGTAAAACTTTACATAAAAAAAGCAGAGAAAGCCCCTCATTCCTTCAATTTAATGAGTGCAACAGTGTCCCCCCTACATAGTTTCCTCCAGTCATACTTTGGTTTGGTCTTTGAGAAATATACATGGTATTGCTAGATGAATTGTGGATTATGCTGTTAATTTAACAAAAACAATTTTTTTTTTCCTTTAATTGAAAGTTTGCTCTGTATTTCCACAATAACCTAACAACACAAAGACATGGAGCAAATCTGGTTGAACTGAAACACTTCTACGCACGACTGTTCCAAAATTACTCCAAATCCTTTTTTTCCCCTGTAATTAACAGTTTCTATAACTTCTTGAAGACTTATAACATGTAAATCTTGCTTTAATTAGCCAATGGATGCAACATATTGTATGGCATTGGACTGTGTTGGTTTGCAACACTCAGTCCTGTGCATGGCATCACTGTGGATTGATAATGGCAAGCAGGAAATGCAATATTAAAAGGAAGGGAATTGGGGGCCTTAAAAGCAGCACCAAACCTTCAGTGGAGGAGGAAGAGGAGGGGGAAGAAAAAGACAAAAAGTGAGCAGAGATTTTGCATGTCACGAGAGCGGCTTACTTCTTTTAGTTTAATTATATATTTCATGATGATGTCTGGCTAGGTCGACTGGGACATCAAAAGGAGTCTTGCTGAATGAGGAGGAGGAGGAGATACGCTGTTGTTGGGAGTACGCCATAAATCTAATCGCGGGAATCTGATCCTCCGCACACCTGGACACACGACTGAAAGAAGTGCCTCCGTCACAGCTCCTTTTTGGAGTGCCTATTGCTTTCCTCTCTTGCAAACAAACACATACTCCTCTTGGACGGTGAGCATTCAAAAGGGGTATTTAAAGTATGTCGGCAGGATCAGAGGAAACGTGAGGTGGGGAGCAAAGAGGAGGAGGAATACAGACAGTTGTATAAAATAATGCAGGGAGAGAAGTGAAATTGTAGAGAACGTGTTGTTGCGTCTGTCTTTCTTATTTAATAAAAAATCCCAGGCTCAACTGTAGTACGACCCTGAGCTCATGCTTCTTATGAGAGGGAAAAGATTTGCACTGAACGCTTACTTTGCTTTACTAAACATGAACTCAATAAAAGTGTGTATTTGTTTTGTACTGTGGCCCTGCGAAGAATTTATTTATCTTTAAACCAACACCCCCTGGCTCGTTTAGTCACACATACACTACCAACAGTGATCCTTATTGTCATTCCCACTGAGAGCCGGACAAGGAGTCACCAATCTAATTAGAGTTTAGCAACCAAAGGTCTCGGCCTGGCCTCCACGAAGAGAGACACTGACTTGGGAACTTGGATGTTGATCCAGGCAGCGCTGAGCCTCTTTTCTCCCTCTCTGCATGTATGTCAGCCCAGGTCAGTTCCCAGGCTCGATGAAGCCCCTATCTGGGATCAGCGCTGGAGGGAACAGATGCATACGGGCAGGAAACAGGAGCCTGCTGCACATTGTTGCTACTATCACAGCGGGAGCACATTCCTCATAACAGAGGATGTAAAGGAGGGGGAGGGGAGAAAAAAGGGAGGGGAGGTTGGGTGAAAATATCTATGAGCTGCTTCCTGTGTGAACGCCCCTCACAACCAACTTCGGGCTTGTGGTCATCTCCGTCCATTTGAATCTCTGGATCCATTTAGTGGTGAGTGGAGAGTTAAAGACTGGGGGGTGGGGGGATTGTGGAGAGGGGTGTGTGAGAAAAGTGAAAGATCAAAGCAGGAGGTGGCTGGATGTGTCATCTTGGTAATTTCATCACAGGAATAGATGGTGTGTCTCAGCGCAGGGGTCATGACCTTGTCCCTCATGCTTGCCTTGAGCATGCAGCTAACAATTTAAGCTGAAAGCTGAACTTCATATTTGGAGTCAGATCAGCTCACCAAGGGGCCTCAGAGGAACAATTAGCTGTGGCTCCTGCAGAGACCCCTGTTTCAGTTGCTTCAGACTGCCTCTCATCTAACCTCTCTATAAAACAGTTCCCAACAAGACAAGTGTTTCTCATCATGTCAATTCAAATTACCATGGGTCACTGAGAGTAATCTACCCCAGCTTGCCCAGTTAATAAACCAGTATTGTTTTAATGCAAAAACAGGTGTAGATACAGATATCGAAAGTAATGTTAATATGTAACATCCAAGTAATAAAGTAGCAAGAAGTCAGTGAATTTGTGTTGCGGTGTACCCCAAGGTTCTATTCTTGGTCCTGTTTGGTTTACTGCATGCATGCTTTCTTCTCAGGAAATGATGATATTCCCTTTGCATCTTTTTTTTTTTTTAATTGAATGCATTATTAGAGAAAACATGATAAGAGGGGGGAAGAGATGGAATGTGCATCTTAGTTAAGCTATGTAAAATACATAAAATGTTGCAAATGTATGAATTCTTAATAACTAAGCTTCCAGACTGGAAATTAGATTTCTCCAAAGGGTGGCTTGGCTCAGCCTAAGGGTGAGAAGTTCAGTCATTGAAGAGGGACTCGGAGTAGATAAATGCTACTCCTCCACATTGAAACGAACCAGTAGAAGTCATTTGGGGATCTGACAAGGATGCCTCCTGGATGTCTCCTGGGTGTAGTGTTCCGGGCATATCCTGCTAAAGGCCCCAGAGTAGACACAGGACATGCTGGAGAGATAATGTCTCTCGGATGGCCTAGGAACACCTCGGTGTTCCCCAGGTTGAGCTGGAGGAGGTGCCTGGGGTGAGGGAGGTGTGGGCTTTGCTGCTTAGGCTGCTGCATCTGCAACCTGGCCATGGATGAACGATAGAAAACGTATGGATAGATTTTCTCAATTTTACACCAAGATTGACAGGTATCATCTTATAGAAGCATTTGTTTCTGAATCAAGGAACCGTGCCCCTCAGGTATTGGAGGAGCTTATTGCCATGGATGTAATTATTTAGGTCTGTTGGTGTTTTAAAGGCTCACCTTTCAGCACACTCACTTCACCAGATGCACTTTGTTTCTTTTCCTCACCTTTGGTTGGGTGTGGTGCTTGCCCTTAATTGCATTCACCTGTCACCCGTTATATAAGGACTGCACTCACCTACAGCTCACTCTTTCTTCACTCCCACATGGGTTGGCAGCTGAGGAGAGTTTCTGTTGAGTTTCCTGCGTTCATGTATTTTTTTGAGTTACTGAATGACTTACATCATACTTTATTTCCTTTCAGAGTTAACAGTCCATGTGTGTCTTTCCTTTATACGCATTATTCAAATAAAACGAGGAATCCTACAAGTAATTGCTGACTGTTCATTCTCATCCTGACCGGAAAAGCCATGATGGTAACAATCTCCAACCTCCTCTGAACCTTCCTCCAGAACAGTTGTTTTATTAAAAGCTATGAGCAGATTTATTTTAAAACATGGACCTCGGGCCAGCGTAGATGTGATTACCGTTTGGAGATGCTCCAGATCCTGAACTAAGAATTTTTGGAGGGATTCTTTACCATTGTGAGATTTGAAAAAATGGCCATTTTTACTCAAATGGTTACAAATTCAAAGAATGTGAGAGATCATCCTGTTGTTCATTCATGCACAGTGGTTGAGCATTTCTTTTGTGCTGAAAATTGGCTGTTTATATTTCATGCTTAATTGGAGACTATGCATGCTGTTATTTCATCTCATCGGCTGTGGTTTTCTCTTTAAAAGTGTCAGTAAAACATCCCTGGACTGCTTACAGTTCTGCTCTTGATCATTCAGTTATCAATATGGTCATGTCTCACTGATTCAAAGGGAAGGGACGCTTCTTGTATGGACTTAAAATGTTATATTTATATGCAGTAACCTATTTTAAAATTATTATCATACCTGCCTGACTTGCTGTGGCTAAAATTAGGTTAAGATTTTGGTATACACTTTATGTGTACGCTTATCAGCTCTCTTATTAGGTACAACCTGCTAGAACTGTATTTAATTGCGTTCTCTTTCAGAACTGCTTTCGTTCTTCAAATTCACTAAGGAGAGGAAACATGGCTCAAAGATTTTTGTCCATGTTGACACAACAGCATCAAACAGTTGCACCTCCAGGGTGGGAATTGTCCATTCCACCATATCCCAAAAGCTCTATTGGGTTGAAATCTGATGACTGTGGAGACGGTATAAGTACAGTGAACTTACTGTCATGTTGAAGAAACACATTTGAAAAGACTTGTAATTTGAGACATGGCGTGTTATGCTTTTGTAAGCAGGCATCAGAAGAATACACTGTTATCACAAAGGGATGGACATGATTAACAACAACACTCAGGTTGGTTTTTAAAGGGGCACACAGTGTACCAAGAAGACATCCCCAATACCACTTGATACAATGCTGGATGGACTCATGCTTTCATGTTGTTTATAACAAATTCTTGATCTTACCACTTGAACCCAATTTTCAATTGTCCAATTTTGGTGAGCCTGTGTGAACTGTAGCCTCAGTTTCCTGTTCTTAGCTGACAGGAGTGGCACCCAGTGTAGTCTTCTGCTTTTGTAGCCCATCTGCTTCAAGGCTTGTTGTGTTGTGCGTCCAGAGATGCTCATCTGCATACCTTGCTTGTAATGAGTGGTTACATGAGTTACTGCTGCCTTCCTTTCATCTAAAAACAGTCTGTGCTCTGACCCCTGGCATCAACAAGACATTCTCACCCAGAGAACTGCTGCTCACTGGGTATTTTCTCTCTGTTTAGAGTTAGATCCCATCAGTTTCTAAAATACTCAGACCAGCCTATGTGACACCAACATTATGATCTGCTTGAACTTCAGCAGGTCTTCTTGACCAAGTCTACAAGCCTAAATGAGCTGCTGCTATTTTGGGTGATTAGACGTTTGTGTTAACGAGCAATTGAGCTGCTGCAAGTCGCAAAATGACTGGTGAGGCTATGTCCTGTCAAAGAGCCATTCAAACATACCTTTGTCTGCGCGGGGGGGGGGGGACGGGACAGAGTGGAGCAGACAGAAGTCTCTTTGGGGGAAACACTGATCGAAGACATTTGTTTTAGACAAAATATGAGAACTGCTCATCCAAACAACCTTAAACTTGACTAAAACAATGCACGAAAAAAAAAAAAAACAACCTTGTACTAAGCTTAAAAAGCAGAGGCAATGAGAGAAAACACTGGTGTCAAAAACATTACTTTATTATCTAGGATGAAATGTCCTATCAAGTACAAAAGAGAATCTCCTCAGAGTTGCCACAATCTGTTAAAAACATAGAGTACTTTTTATCTGCAGTTACGTTTTTTTTTTGTTTTTTCCAACATTACTCAAAAAACTGAGAACTTTTCATTGATATGAATAAATAATACAAGAAATGCAATGTCAATATAGACGTTATGCTGAACTGGTTGGTTTCTTACAAAAAAGAAAAACTCTGTACAAGAGTTACTGTGTCACTCTACCCCGTTCAAAACCTTTATGCTCACAATATGCAGCACTTTTAATATAAAGGGCAATTTCACCTAAATGTAGAGTTCACTTTAAAGAGAAAAAAATAGACAGTTAAAATATACAGGCGGGCTTAGTTGCTGGTTCAAATAGTGAAAAATAAAAGTTTCTACTGCTCTAAAAATCTCTCATCTCTACATATTTGGACAGCAATAATATACAATAGAGATTACAAACAGTGGATAAAGCACATTATCGTCAGATTACAAAGTGACCCATGTTTGAAAAGACAGACATATGAAAGACATACAAACACACAGAAGATGACAGAGGCTACTTTATCTCTCAACTCTAATTAAAACACCCGAAAATGTAAAAACTTTGCGAGTAAAACTGAAACGTTTCCTGATTATAAACAGTCTCCAACATATAAACTAAAAGACAACTGCAACTTTGCCTTTTAACGGCTCCCCTCCTACAAAACGGATGATCACAAATTACAAAAATGCTCCCAGAAATGCCAAAAATGCAGTTATAAAATTTTCATACAAACCCCACGGTACAAAGACTCCCCAGTCCCACCCCCACTCCACTCGGAGTTTACCCTGCTGCCGCGGACCGCAACATAACTGAGTTGATTGTGAGTGGAAAAGTCCATTACCCAATTACTTAACCATGCTTTGAGGCAGAGTTGAGAGACAGATGTGAGCCAACCTGTCAGCTTCAGTGAATTATGCTGGAAGAAGTGGCTGAAAGATAAGGAGAGACAGACTTACAGACTCAGCCACCGACAGAAACGGACACCGGAGTTCGATGAGAGGAGGGTGGAGTACTTGTAGGTCGGTTAAGCCTCGTACAAGTTTCACCTTCCCTGAAGGCCTTTAAAAAAATAAAATAAAATAAATCCCCCTCCCTCTCCTCATATATTGACCTTTGCCTCTTTCAAATAGTCATGTTTAAGGAGGCACAAAACTAGCTGACTTTTTTTTTTTTTAAAACTTGCATTTTAGAAGAACACTAAATGGTAAAAAAGGTCAAAAGAACGGCAGGATGCTGTGGGTGGGGCAGCTTATTTTGGGTGTTCCCTGTGGAAATTAACATGAAAGCACTGCTGCACTGACACAAAATGAAGACCCCCCTCACATGATGTCCAATTTCTTTTTTTTTGTTGTTGTACAAAACTGAGCTTCTGTTACAGGGGGCTCATCTCAGCATCAGCAGGCTGCTTTGATAATATACAGTGAAATGTGACCCTGAAAGACACACTGAGTTATATGAGGCTGATTCATGCTTCATGCAGCACTAAAAACCTGAAAACAATGTGGTCAGTATAACTAGGTCTAATGTAAGGTGATGCTGCGTCTTCAGGACTGGCTGAATGAAGCTGGTCTGCAGTGCCGACCTATCTTTGTGGGGTTATTATTTTTTCCTGGCAAAAACATAGGTGGTGCTTATTGAATATGAGGGAAGTCAACTCCAAATTGCACATTTAGCTTCAGATGAAACATTTCCCGACATCGGCTGTGCACGTTTTACAGCAGTTTCCAGTTGAAGCAGTGGCTAAAATCGAGCGGGATGTTTGCATTGTGAAAACGCGACAGGATGAAGTTAAGAAAGGGGGACCGAAGGTGACACTTGCTATATAGGATACACAAAACAAACAAACAAACAAACAAACAAACAAAGAGCCATCAGCTACAGAATGAACTTCCAAGAGTCTGCTGCTGCTTTAAAGATAAGACTGCCACCGACCATCCAACGAGCGCTGCTGCCTCGCCATCTGCGCTCTCCAGGCTTTCTTCTCATGGAGGGGCTACACTGGCAGGGATGGCTGGTTGGGATGTAAAAGGCTGCCAGAGAGTAAGTCTGCAACTGCCCTGCCCCCTGGTATGAAGACGACACTGACATTTTTGATGACAAATGAACCTTTTTCCAATTCACTTCTTTCTTCTCAGCACTGCAGGTGCCAGGTGAGGTGTTGTGTGAGGTGGGGGCGGCGTTCCTCCAGAGAGGAGTCGGGTTCGGACGCAGCCTGACTTGGACCACGCTTCTTAATCAGTCAGAGGAAACCACAAGCCGGGTCTGTGTGACACCTGGTTTGTTTAGTTTTTTTGTTTTTTTTAAGCAGAGCTAAGAGGCAGCTGACTGCAGCTTGTTGTTATGTGACCTACAGAAACAGGCAAAGAGAGGAGGAAGAACACAGTTGGAAAACTTCTTGTTGTTGTTGTTTTTCTTCTTATTTTTTTTATTAAAGGCTTTACAAAGTGACAAATATGCGACTAGGGGAAAGTACAAAAAAAAAAAAAAAAGCAATAGCAAAACATGTATTGGATGCCAGTGGGTCAGACGGGTTGTTGCAGACCAAGCAGCCATGTTGGTGAAATGTTACTGAAATGTGTGTTTTTGATGTCGACCCGACAATAAGTATACAGAGTCTTTTTTTTAAAAAAAAGATTTATTTTTTATTATAGTGGAGACCGCTAAGCTCGTCATATTCTGAATATGAAAGCTAAACTAGATTTTTTTTCTTCACTCTACTTTGTTTTTACAGCGTAAACCATTATTTCCTTTATAACATAAAACATATTCCTTCACAAAAAAGATAAAATATGAACATGAAATATAATACATGGGTACAGCCAATA